GGAAAAAAAAAAAAGATTTCTTCTTTGACCTACATGTTATTTTTAGTGTGTTATTGTGTGTGGGGTTTTTTTTTTTTTTTTTTTTAGTGTGTTGTCTAATATCCAAATATTTTGGAATTTTGCTGCTACTTTTTATTTCTAGTTTAATTCCATCATTGTCTGGGAGCAAACAATATATGATTTTTAATCTTTACATTTGTTTAGGTATGTTTTATAGCCCTGAATGTGGTCTACTTGGTGAATGTTACATGTTAGCTTAAGAAAAATGTATATTCCGCTGTTACTGGATGAAATAGTCAATAGATGTCAATTAAGGACAGTCAGTTGATGGTATTGTTGAGTTCAGTTATGTCCTTACTGATTTTCTGCCTAGTGAATCTGTTTCTGAGAGGAATTTTAAAGTCTCCAACTAGAATAGTGTATTCATCTATTATTTCTCCTTGTAGTTCTGTCCATTTTTATACCATATTGTTTTATACTCTATTGTTAGGCACATACATGTTAAAGACTATTATGTCTCAATGGAGAATTGACCTCTTTTATCATTAAGCAATGCCCTTCTTATCTCTGATAACTTACCTGACTTTAAGGTCTGCTTTCTCTGAAATTAATGTAACTAATCTTGTTTTCTTTTTTTAAAAATTATGTTATGTTGGGGCGCCTGGGTGGCTCAGTCGTTAAGCGTCTGCCTTCGGCTCAGGTCATGATCCCAGGGTCCTGGGATCGAGCCCCGCATCGGGCTCCCTGCTCAGCGGGAAGCCTGCTTCTCCCTCACCCACTCCCCCTGCTTGTGTTCCCTCTCTCTGTGTCTCTCTCTGTCAAATAAATAAAATCTTTAAAAAAAAAATAAATAAAATTATGTTATGTTAATCACCATACATTACATCATTAGTTTTTGATGTAGTGTTCCATGATTCATTGTTTGCGAAAATCTTGTTTTCTTTTGGTTAGTGTTAGCATGTTATGTTTTTTTCCATTCATTTACTTTTAATCTATATGTGTCTTTATATATAAGGTGGGTTTCTTGGAGATAGCATATAGTTGATAAGCAAGTTTTTAAATATCAGGAATGTATATTAAATTCACCTATACCTTACTTGAAATTAGGTTTATAATTATGAATATATTAAAATGCACATATATACCTATGTATTTTAAATCTTTACTTTTGGAAAATATACTGAGTAATTTGTTTTTAATTTTAATTCCTTCAGTGTAATCTATAAACTTATGGCATCGACAAGTGAAGGAATCAGAGTACAAGCTCTCAAGGCAATGGGCTATTTTTTAAAACACCTGGCCCCAAAGTGAGTATAGCATGCATGAAATCTAAAATGGGCTGTGGTATATTACTTTTTTTATTTTATAAATCTTTGGATAGTATTTGTGTTCTGTGATTTCTCTAGTTTCTCTTTCCTTTATTTTTATTTATAAAATCTATGTAAATATAATCCCATTTCTGTATATTAAAAGATAAAGTGGAAACAGGAGTATATACTTTTTTTTATATAAAATTTAAGTTTTCCATTTGTTCCTTGTTCATTATAAGAATACATTTGTATAAATGGAATTTTAGAAACCATTGAGACTTCATTTTATGTGGCTTGATTATCATTAGCTTTACCTATAGTATAAAGCTGACATTTTAACCTCAATATTTGTCATAGTATGTTCTGCTATAAGGATAACTGAAAACTAAAACTTCTGTGTTTTTTTTTCTTAGCTGAATATAGATATTCATGTCCTACCTATTATTCCTTATACCAAGGTCGGTTTATTATAAAAATTAACAGTTGTAGCAATAGAGAAGTGTTGGCAAACTGTGGTCCTTATGTGGATTCCAGTTGGCTGCCTGTAAATAAAGGTCCACAAAGCCTAAAGTATTAACTGTCCAGTCATTTGCAGAAAAAATTTGATGAATCCTAGGGTAGAATTAAAGTTTGTGATACTTTAGTTCGTAAATTTTTGCTTGGAAGTTTGATTTTGGTATATTTATCTTCACAGTATTCATTTTCTTAATTTTTTTTTTTCATTTCTTCTACCTTTTCCTTCATTGCTTTTCTACTTAATGACTTATTGGGCTTTAGATTATCATCTATAGTGGAGCTTAGCTCAGTGCTGATAGAGAGTAGAAACTAGTTAATAAATAACTGCTCTGGAGATTATCGTGGAGATTTTTGCTGTGCTGTGACATAGCCAGTCCTGTATTTTTTTTTTTTTTGAACATCAGCTGTGCTCTAGCTGTAGTTTGTATTTCTCTCGTTAAAGATTTTGTGATCTTATGAGTTCTAGGTTGAAGAAAATTAGGAGAGTTACTGAGTTGGAATTTGTTGATGGGATGTGAAAAACATTTTTGTGTCTTCTTCATCCAATGTACCTTCTAAGTAGTGGATAATAATACTCTGCATTTGATTATTTCTTTTTATGAAATCGCAGAAGAAAAGCTGAAGTCATGCTTGGACATGGATTATTTTCATTGCTAGCAGAAAGACTCATGCTTCAGACAAATTTAATCACAATGACCACATATAATGTTTTGTTTGAGGTAGGAATATATTTAGAATTTAATCTTACTAATTTCTTATCTTAAGAGTGCCTGTATAATTTAGTTGATAGTATCTAGATGAAATAAGGTAATTTAGGTTTGATAAACAATTTTGAAATTAGTTATATAAAGGAGATGTGGCTGCATCTTAAATCTATTAATCTGTGAATTATTAAAAAGTATGAACATCTCTGTTAAGTATTTCCTCTGTTGTATTGATGTCTCATTTTGTAATTAAATAAAAATAGAGTTATAATGTTGAAATTATTTTATATAATGCAGAAGATATTTAGCATGATAACATTGGATTGTGTACTTAATATTGATTAGTGCTGTACTTAAAGTTCATTAATAGCCATAGTAATACAGTGATTATGCTAATATAATCTATTGTTTTACCTTTGTAGATTCTTATAGAGCATATTTGTACTCAAGTGATACACAAACAGCATCCGGATCCTGATTCTTCAGTAAAGATACAAAATCCTCGTATGTATTTTATATGCTTTTATTTTGCTTGTTTTTGTTTTTTCCAGCTTTATGGAGATATAAATCTTGACATACAATATTGTCTAAGTTTAAAGTGTAGAGCCTCATGATCTGATTTATCTATATATTGTGAAATGATTACACAGTAAGGTTAGTTAACACATCCATCACTGCAAAGTTACAATTTTTTGTGCGGATGTGTGCTGAGGACTTTTAAGATCTGTTCTCTTAGTAACTTTCCATTATACAATACAGTATTGTTAACTTTGGTCACCATTTTGTACATTAGATCCCTAGAACTTACCCAGCTTATGACTGGAAGTTTGTTTCCTTTCAGTACTTTCACCCATTTCTCCCCTCCTTTTTTATACTTTTAATAACTAGCTTTTGCTAATAAAAAGAAAGTCACTGGGAAAAACCTGAAGTTGGTTGAAACATACTGTTCAAGGAGTATTCCATCATAGGCAATGATATAATACTAGTTTTATTTTTGGTTAAATATAACTTCAAATTGACCTTAAGTTATATGGAAATGTTTCTATAGAGGTTTTGAAGAATTGTATGTGTAAGATACTGATTTAACATATGTTCAGATTTTCGGTAAAGTTTTGATTGCACTATTTAGTGATGTCAGGCCAAATTACATGAACCATGGTCATAGCTTTCATCTTAAATTATTGTCAAGTTAAGAATACCAAGTTTGGAATTGAAAAATATCTGCTTTCTTTATTGTTTATGAACTTAGTCTTGTTTAACAGTCTTTTCTTTGGTATTTAGATTTCTTAAGCACTTTTACAAAGTGTACAGTTTTCATCTTGCTTTTTAAGATTATTGACATTAAAATAACTGGTTTGTAGAGTTTTGAAATTTAATTACCTTTTGGGTGAGTTATGTTTGTGGTACTCTCTTTCAGTACTAGTTTTAAAAAACATGTCTGAAGTTTAATTTTCCTCAGCCTTCAGGGAGACTTAATGTCATTATTTTAGAGAGTTAAAAAAAGAAAATCTCGAGTAAATGTATATAAATATAAAATATATTTTATGTGATTATGGGGAAGATGGCTTGTTGAAGTAAGAATTTTAGAATATATTATTTATGTAATATACTGTCTCAGAAAAGACACACTGTATAGTATGGTGTTTAAGAACATAGGCTGCCTGGCTTTTTTTTTTTTAATTTTATTTTATTATGTTACGTTAGTCACCATACATTACATCATTAGTTTTTGATGTAGTGTTCCATGATTCATTGTTTGCGTATAACACCCAG